CATGGAACGTTCGAGGACCTACTGGCGCGAAAATTTTCGAAATTCCGCCGCGCATGGTCGAGCGTGGCATTGGCACTTTGGCACTACAGGGAGCCCGCCGCGCAAACGCAGACGTTTACGAGGTCGACGGGTGCAGGGTCATTCTTTCCGGCGAAGACACAAACGAGCGCACTTGGACGTGCGTCGGGCGCATCATTTCACAACGCCCCGACGCATAGTCACAGCTTCTAGACAAATATCAGAGACGGGCTCGGCTAAAGATCAGATCTGGCATGGGGGGCGCTGGCCAGAATCACTGGATGCGCGCCTCGCAACCTCAAGCCGTTCCATGAGAGACGAGATTCCTACGCGGGGTTGGATTCGACGCACCGGCCATGCAACGCCGCAGCTGGCAAGCTCATCATCGGCGACTTCAGCGCCAAAGTAGGGGAAGCTGGTCCAGGGGAAGTCGCTGCGTCGGGGGAATTTGGATGGGAGCGGCGCGCGTAGCGCGAAGTTGAGCAGCCGAACCAGGATCGGATGGTGGAGTTTTGCACGTGCGGTGACCCATGAATTGTAAATGCATTTATTTCGCAACCGTTGGAAGAAAAGTCGCGTTCATGGAAGCGGGCGCCCTGCCAATGGGGGACATGGCAGAATGCAGTTACCATAGTTTCGACTCGCTAGTATGCGACGCACACTTGCGGCATCAAGTCATTGCGCTGCGAAGTCGCCGGGGAGCGGCCTTGGCCGCGGACCCTTATTTGGCGGTGGCAGACGTGGTTTTACAACCTTCCATGCGGAAGCCGCGGAGAACGGGGCGGCCGAGCAGAAATGGCATGCAAGACCCGCGAGTACTGCAAGCATGTGCGGGCATCTTTATGGGAACTGTTTCGTCGTTTCCTGGGCCGCCGGCTGATGTTCAAGCCACGTGGGAGAGAAAAAAGACAGCAGCGCAGTCTGCAGCAGGCGCGCTCCCGACGCGCCATGTGAAAGAGCATCCAGCCATGGATTGCACAGCGCACTCTTGATCTCATTCGCCGCCGTGCCGAGGCCCGAGTGGCCCGCGACGTGGCCGAGGAGAGAAGATGGTTGAAGGCGGTGCGCAACGCGCGCAAGCAATGCCAAGCCATTTGGGTTGATTCGCGAATTTCGACTGGGGCGCTCTGAAAGAGCATTGCCGGCCTAAGCCGCGACGCCAAGGGAGGCTACGCGCAGAGAGCAGAGGCAATGGCTGAGCACCTGGAGTAAGTGCAGTGGAATGTTCGGACAGCAGAGCTTCTAGACGACTCACCGGGGGATCCCTCACCAGCTTCGGAAGTAGACTACGAGAAAGGAGGTCGGCAAAGCAGTCAAGAAGCTCAAACGTGGCAATGCTTCGTGTGTGGGCGATGTCCCAGCAGAGCATTGGAAAGCTATTGCTATAGAGCCAGGCGGACTGGAGTGGATCGCAGACTTGCGCAAATGATGGACCGAGGGGGCCGTGCAAACTGTCGCCAGCGCAAGTTGGCATCCGGCGAGAGCTCGGTCGCACTGGATTGGAAGGACGCTGTCGGCTCGTTGAACGTCAAGGCGATGCTGGAAGCTTCGCGCACATTTGGAGCCCCTCGGCGCGCCGTTACAAGCATTGGCCACATCTACGAGGGCAGGGCATTCAGCGTGGCGGATGGACGACGCAGGTCATCAGAACGACGGCAATTATTTAGGATATCGCGAGGTTGCCCACTATCGCCGTCCTTGTTCATTATGGTAATGACGATGGTAATTCGGAGCGCTACACACCACGGATACGCGGAAGTACGACGAAACTTGGCAGATGGGTCCTTGGGTATACTGTTGTACGCGGATGACACTTAGCTTGTTGGTCGCAACCCAGATCGTTCACAAAGGTTTCTGAGAGCCATTTCTAAAGCAGGTGCACGAGTTGGCATGGCACTACATTGGGATCAATTTCACTTCGTGCCAGTTCGTTGCGACATGTCACTCTTGACGCTCTCTGGCTAGCAAATCTAGCAAAATATACAATGGTCTACCTCGGGGCCACGCTTTCAAATTCTGCCCAGCTGCGCGGGGAGTTGGGCAAGGAGTCAGGAGCTGCATGGGGTGAGTTCTACAGACACATCCGCGCCTGGAAGCATGCGGCAACCAGTGCTACCAGAAAGCTTCAACTATTTCACGCTCTGGTGACTCGTAAGGTCATGTATTCGCTGAACTCGGCATGGCTCAACAAAGCTGACCGCGAAAGATTGGATGGCTTCCAAGCTGGGCGCCTACTTCGAATCCTGCACATTCCCCACGCATGCAGTTCAAGAGAATGTAACGAACAAGTGCTTGCGCAAGCAGGCCAACAATGCTACGCAGTGCAACTTCTGAGGCATCAGCTGTTGTGGCATGGGAAAATATGTAGGGCGACAGACCTTGATTTTCTGCTCCAGTTCACCTTCCAGCCCGGAAGCGCGCGCCCAGCTACAGACGCATGTGCCCGAGCACGAGGTCGGCCAACAAATGCATGGGCGCAGTGTTTGTACAAAGCTGTCGCACCGAATTTTTCTTCGGACGAGGCAATAATGCAGTCAGTGTGTACGTGAACCACCAGCTTGGCGCAGACTTGCGATTGATGTTGCGTGTCTCCTTCGCCTCCTCCCCCTCCCCCTCCCCCCTTGTCCTTAAGCAGCGCGCTGTGTCAATTAAGAGGCAGCCGACGCGCGGCCGCCCCCGCAAAGCGGTGAGCCTTGGCTGGCATTATCCTCTTATGCCCACGCGCTCCGGCGCATGGCTTTTCGTTCGTTCGTTCTGGACGGATGGGCAGGCGAATTGCAAGGGGCAGTGGTTCCAGCAACCCACGGCATGGGATCCAGCACCCACGTTTGACGAGGGAAATTCCAGCAGATTGTGCCGACAATCAGGGCCGCTTGTCGTCTGGAAGGGATGTAATAACAAGTGCCTGTGCCTCAGCCGTGACGCACCCACCCACAGTTCGTCGACGCACATATCAAGCAACATAGTCACCGAGCGGTAGGGATCGCACGGTCATGAGCGGTTCAGATACCATGGCCGGCCAGCTCAACAATGTAGCCCGCATTTGAGGCGAGAGCAGGATAGGATGTTGCCAGAAAGTCCCAGGCGAAACGGCTGCATGAACGCTAGGGACAAGGGTGAGAGCACGGCGATGTCCATTTGAGTGGATTTTTTACCTGGGATCGTGGCTGTCTGGACCAAGCATGTAATTAGCATTCTGGCGAAGGCTGAATTTCTGAATCGGTTCGCCAGCGTGGACCCCGAGCAACGATTTCTTTCTATTTTTGCAGTGCAGGAAGGGCTTGCAATCAATGTGGTGCACTCGAGGTGATGAAAGCCACGTGGTGCAATCCATGCGGTGTACAGCAGTGCAAAACATATCGGTGCGAAACAGTGGAAGGCAACGCAAATCACGGCAAAACATTGCGGAACAACGCTATGTAGACAAGCCATTACAAACACCGAAACAACATGCTGAATTATGTAATTTATTGAAATATTGTAGTGGCCTTCGGCCAGTGCCGCCGATCCGGGTCGCTCGGATACACATATTACGCGGACACCTCACGCACGCACGCGACCAAATGCACATACGGCAGACGCACATACAGAGACACACGAGGCGCACGCCAGACACTAGCACGCACAGACATTCGCAGACACGCACCACACACAGACACTCGCACAGGAGCCTGTCAGGGCGTCGAGGGGGCTTCTTGGGGGCTTTTGGGGGCCCTCTTGGGGGCTCTTGGGGCCTCCTGGGGGCCTCGTGGGCTGGAAGGCTATTTTTTTTCGCTTTTCGTCCCTCTTTTGGGTCCTCTTGGGGCCGTCTTGGGGGCCTCTTGGGCCGTCTTGGGCGGCTTTTGGGCCGCCTTGGGGCCCTCTTGGGCCGTCTTGGGACTGTCTGGGGGCTCCTGGGCCGTCTTCGAGCGGTCTTGGGGGCCTCTTGGGCCGTCTTGGAGCGTCGGAAAGCCGAAAAAAGCGACAACCCCAAAAACATGGAAAAAAAAACAATGGAAATCAACGATGTTTGCCTCTGGGGGCCCTCGTGGGAGGCCTCTTGGAGGCCTCTTCAGACGTCTTGGAAGGCTCTTGGGCCGTCTTGGGGCCATCTTGGGCGTGTTCGGGCGATCTTTCGGGGGCTCGGGACTTTCTTAGACCGTCCTCAGAGACTTTTGCGGCCGCGGCCACCCTTTTAGCGCATCCTCGAGATTAGAGCCTTCTGTAAAAGCAGCCCCCCCGCATCCGCCGGAAACTCGCACCCCCCCCCCCCCTATCCCCCCTTCCCCGGCAGAGCCACCCCGGCACCCCCCCCAGAGGCTGAGGCTCAGCCACGAGGCTGTAGCTGAGACTCCTTGAAACTCACACGCCGGATCGGCGGATTATATGTACAAGGCAGTGATAAGCAATGCCAGACAATGCAATGCGAGGCAAATCAATGCCAAGCAATGCAAAACAGTGCAGACCAGTGCAATCAAATGCTAGGCAGCGCGCGGCAATACAGCGGCGACGGCGGCGACGGGCGGCGGCGAGCCGGCCAGACTGCCACTGGGGCTCAGTTACGAGCGGCGACGTCGGTTGCGACGGGCGGCGACGAGCCGGCCGGACCGCCACTCAGGCTCGGTTGCCGTAAATAAAAGGAAGAACCCTAAGTCCAAGCTTTGTTTGGAGAAACTGGTGGTGAAGCTTGACGCGAATCGGCTGTCCAGGAATGGCGTCCTGCGGTTCCCCGTCCCCCTTGTGGGTCTTCCGTGTGGTCTTTATGCAGCACTTCCACTAGACATTCTATCGCGAAGCGTTGTTAGGGCCAAGGGTATTCACGCTTTGGGGACATTGCTGGAACCATGCTGGCATCGTGCGCACATGTTGTTGCGCAAGGGGGTACGTCCAGGGCCGCGCAGGTGTCTTGCAAGGGTTGCGCAGTGGCTGCTGCTGCTGCTGCTGCTGCTGCTGCTGCTGCTGCTGCTGCTGCTGCTGCTCAGCTTTGCCGAGCCTGGGCTCAGGAGCGGCGACCGCGAGGGTGAGCCGCCGCTGCGAGGGCCGCGCGGGCGCAGCGCGGGGCGGGCCGGGGGCGGGCCGTCTCCCATGCGGCGCTGCGGGGGGAGAGAGGATGGCAGGGAGGGGGGCAGGTGGAAGAGGGAGGCAGGATGGCGGGGGAGGGAGGAGGAGCATGAGGAGGGGAAGAGACGAGGGAGGATGAGCATGGCTCTGGGCTGCCGTCGTCGTCGCGGGCGGGCATGACCGGTGGTGTGCTCCTGATTATGCTTCTCTGAGCCTTCGTCGAAGCGAACTCATCCTGCTCGGAGGCGAAATACAAGAGTCGGAGGGCAATGTCTTCTTGCCGCTAGAAGATCAATGCCTGAGGCCTATGCCAAGTGTATTTTTCCTAGCCACGTGGGCCACAAGCGTCTGTAGATGCATTTGCGTCGTATACATATGAACGGCGCACGGGGACTGGGAGCCCCCAATAGGGTCCCCGACCACAAATGTGGGGCCTGGGCTGCCCAGGGCCCTGCCGGCGCTCCAGAGGCTCTCCAAGATCGCCCGCAGACGGCCCCGGGTTGCTTTAACACGCGCTTCGGTACCGCCAAAACGGCCCATGGCCGCCCCAGATTAGCCAGAGTTGGCGCCGCTTTGTCCAAGAGGCCCCAAGAGGCCCCACGAGGCCTCCCGAGAGCCTCCACGAGGCCTCCCAAGAAGCACACATTAATTGATTGATCGATGTTCTTTGATGGGGATTGGTTTTCTCGCCTTTTGGGCTTCCCGACGCTCCCAGGCGGCCCGAGATTCCGCCAAGACAGCCCCAAGAGAGCCCCAAGTTTCCCCGAGAGAGCTCCAAGACGGCCCCGAGAGGGCTCCAAGGCGGCCTATGAGGCCTCCTAGAAGGCCCCAGAGGCCCCCAAGACGACTCCATAGAGGATCCAGACGGGGGCCCGAACAGACATTTCGAGCCCTCGGTCCCGAGAGGCCCCCAGGAAGCTCCGAAAGCCCCCCAAGAACTTCCCAAGGGGACCCGAAGAGTCCTCCAAGTGGCCCCCGCGAGGCCTCCAAGAGGTCCCACGAGGGCCCCACGAGGCCCCCCGCAAAGCCAAATTCATCAATTGTTCAAAGATTTCGAATGATGTTCGCATTCTCGCCTTTGCGGCTTCCCAACGCTCCAAGGCGGCCCGAGGATGGCCATGCCCAGGGAGTGTGTCAGCGTGCTGCTGCTTCTTCTGAAATCCAGCCACGCGTGCTTTCCCTGGTGTAACCTGCTGCTCTCCTCGAGATGGAGGGTGGGGGGCGCGCGGAGCCCCGCCGCGGCCTCTCTCGCGCGCCACGGCTTGGGCCCCGGGTTGCCGTGAGCCCGCTGCGCCGGAGTCGCCGAGACACCTTCAAGGGGACTCCAAGATCGCCCCAATATTGCCCAGTGGGCTCCCAAGAGAGCCCCAAGACGCCCCGAGAGAGCTCCAAGACGGCCCCGAGAGGGCTCCGAGACGGCCGAAGAGGTTTCCAAGACGGCCCCAGAGGTTTCCAAGATGACATCAGAGAGGGTCCAGACGGGGGCGTCGAACGGATATTCGAGACCTCCGCCCAGATGTCCCCCAGAGGCCTCGAGAGGCCCCCAAGAACCCCCCAAGGGGCCGCAGAGGCCTCCAGGAGGCCCGAAGAGGCCACGAAGTTAAGTTTTCAATGGTTTCTGTTTGGGTCCTCTTAGTGGGGCCCGTGGCCCCCTAACAGGTTCCCTTTCAAGTTTTGATTTGTTTAGATTTGTGCACTCCCCTTCGGGTCTTGCGTTCCGTTCCAGGAGACCCCCACGCGGCCTCCATGAGGCCCCCCCAAAGAGCCGGATTCGTCAATTGTTCAGAGGTTCTGAGGATTTTCGCGTTCTCACCTTTACAGCTGTCCGACAGTCCAAGGCGGACCAAGAGGCCTCCATGATCGCACCAACATTGCCCAGGAGGACCCTCACACGGCCGAGGACGGCTCTACGCATTATCGACGCGGCCCTGCAGTTGCCCCAAGAGGGCCCCAGGGGGCTCGAAGATGGCCACAAGAGGATTCCAAGAGAACCCCAAGAGCCACGCGAGAGAGCGCTCGCGTGACCAATGCTTGACTTCTCTTGGGGCCCCATTGGATGCCCTTGCTGCCTTCTTGGGGCCCTCCCAAGCCGTCTTCGAGGATCCTGAACGCTCCCGGAGGGCCCCCGATCCTGAACGCAAGCTGTCTCGCGAGAGTGGTGCTGGTGCTGGTGCTGCTGTTGGTGGTGCTGCTGGTGCTGCTGCTGCTGATGCTGGGGGGCGGGGCCCTGTCGGGGACACCCTCTCGGATTCTCCCCCCTTGTTGGCCCACGACATGATTGGGGCCTCTCGGGCTTCCCCTCGGCCTCTCAGCACTGCTCTAGAGGCCACCAAAATTCGACCAGAGCGGCCTGACAAAGCCGAAGACCCCAGAATACCTTCTTCATGATGGATCCAGGCCCCCCGAAGATGTCCTAAGAAGGGTCCCGAAGGCGCCCCGAAGAGACCAAAATTAACACTTTGGGTTTTAACAGCGTCCACAATGGCCCTAGAGGCCCTACATATCGCTCCAAGACGGCCCAGCAGGCCTCCAAGAGGGCCCCTGGACGACCCAAGAGACCCTCAAGACGGCCTAAGAGGCGCCCAAGACGGCCCTAAGAGGAGTCCAGAGGGGGAACTCCAACTGACATTTCGAGCCCTCCGCCACCAGTGGGGCCCCCAGACCGCAGCAGGGACCCAAGAGGCCCCCAAGGGCCCACAGAGAGGCCGACGAGTCCCCCACAGGGTCCACATGAGGCCACAAGAAGCTTCAAAACTCGCTCCACTGGGCCCTCGAGGGGCATGCCAAGAATCCTCTGGCCCAAAACTCAGGCACAGTAGCGGTAAGGGCCGAGAGCCATAGATAAGCAAGCGATTGGTTTGGTGACGGACCTATCCTTGTGCAGTCATGTGTAGTGCAGGGCGCGGGTCTCTCTTTCTAGACTGCGCGCCGCGGGGCAATGCGGAAAGATGGCTGCCGCGGGGCACGCGTGCACGGGTGCGCTGAACTCCTTGTGGGGTACGATCCGCGTGAAGGGCCGCGCGAACACGCCCACTGAGGCCGCAGGTAGATCTCCTCCTGGCACGCCCCGTGCCAGGCATTTTCCGAAATGGGCGCGGGGACGCCATGCATTCGCGTGACAGGTATGCCGACATGGGCGGGGGGGGGCGTTGTGCAAACCTTCCGGGCCGTTAGGTGGTGTTCCTTGTGGGCACGATCCGCGTGATGAGGTGTGCTGCAATGGCCCGGGGGTGCGCAGTGCGAACCCTGCCTTTGGTAGCGTGGGTGGAGATCCCTGTGGGCCACGATCACGATCCGTGTGCCAGGTGTGCCGAAGTAGGCGGGATGGCGGGATGGGAACCTTGTCCTTTGGGCCGTCCGTGGATATCCTTGCGTGCCACGATCCGTGTGAGAGGGTTGCCGAAGTGAGCGGGACGATGTTATGAAGCTCCCCTCTGGCGCAGCAAATGCATTTAGATGCGGGGCACGGTCCGCGTGAGGGGCGTACCACTGTGCGAATCTCGTTTGTGGGGATGTAATAAAGTGGATTGCCCTGTGGGACGCGATGCCTGTGAGGGGTGTGCCGGCATGGGCGAGGGGCCCTTCAGCCAAGCTTGTCTGAGGGGCCGCAGGTGGAGCTCCCTGGGGTGCACGATCCTTGTGACAGTCTATGTCCTCCGATGCCGAACGCTTTAGACTACAACTGGAGATTGTTGGAGCCTAAGCGCGCGAAGCGCGCGTGCTTCTAGCTTCGTATTTGGACACATTCGGGGTGGATACGTCTATAGACAGTGCGGCCGTTGCGTTCGGCGTAGTGCAAGATCGGACAAAGGGTCGATCCGTCTACGGTATGTCCCTATTCTAGCGCAGGTCCAACGTGGTGCTCCACATGAAAGGGGTAAATCCACACTCGACAGACACTACATACAGGTCGAGCACCTGCAAAAACACGCACGGCACTGCTGAACAAATCATGCAGAAACGCAGTTTTGGGCCAGCATTGAGTGTGCTCAGCGAGCCAAGCGCCAAGGGTCCGAGCGGGTCGGTAAGATATTGGGCGAACTATTGGGAGCGGGAGGAGGCTCTGCGTCAGCGTTTCGTTTGCAAGAGGTGGATTGTTCACATAGGTGGTGCCTGTGCTGCCTTGTTGAACTTGTTTCACCGAGCAGTGACAAGGGTGGAGGGCGAGCGTCTGGCTGGGTGCATGAGTGGAACCATGGCATGGTGGGATAATTAATCTGTTGTTTGGCCCACGCAGGTAGACGCGTGTGCAAACTAATTGCTGGACAACATTGCCATTCTGTCGTAGGCGACCAACATGCTATGTGGCAGATTTGGTACCCGTGGCATGCGCCCTCTCACGATGCAGCGATGGAGTAGAGCGACATTCGTGCCAACGACCGCAGCAGATTGGCACGCGAAGGCCACAGCGTCAGCGTCAGGGGGAGGGGGGGGGGGCGTGGGAGGCTGAGAATGCCCAATAGGATGGGCACGTTTTCTCTTCGCTCCCCCGCAGCGTATTAGCGCGCGTGCAAGACGCGCGCGAATTGCAAGGTAGCGTAATCTCAGGCGCTTTGCGGCTTTCCAGCACCATGTCCCCCGCACATGCCGAGCAAGGCGGCGGAAGGAAGGGCTACGAAGTCTATGCCTCCCCCATCCCCATCGTTATCCCTTGTGATTCTCCGCCTTCTGGCCCTCATCCTCCTTCCCATCTCCCTCCTCCTCCTCGGCACATATCTCCCTGTGCGGCGGTATGGTTCCCTCTTGGATGTTCTGCCTTGCGATCGGATGGTGAATAAGGTCCCCTCTTTTAGTGATCCTCCACTCGTATCCTTCATTCCCCCTCCTCTTCTTGTGCTTCTCCGCTCTGAATAACCCTTCACATGTGGGACGGACCCTTGCGGTAGTGACGCTAGCGTGGGCGACCCCGTCCTCGACAAACGGCGAAGAGGCGGCTCCCCAGCAGCGTGTCGACCCCCCCCCAGGCTTCTTCAACGGCGTATTCCTTCATTCATGCCGCTTTCTTCTGAGGCGGGAAGTTATCCATAGTCAAGGCCGGGGGGATCGTTATTCGGGGACTTCGGCAAGCGGCGGATATGGATACATACAGATTTGGAGACAATCATAGATATCCATGCGTTTACATTCGCACATTCATACGCGCAAAAAGGCATACAATCATTTTATCATACACGCATTGGCACATGTACTTATATATGTATGTATATATATGTGTGTATTAGATACAAATGCAGATGTAGTATACGTCGTCGGTCCCTGCAGGGGACAATTTGTCCAGATCCACCGCTTGCCGACGTCCCGAAGATGATCCCCCAGGCGTTGGTTGTGCGTAACTTCCCACCTCGCAGTTCTCTGTTACTCTGCACTTCTCATCTGTGTCCCTCCTGCTGCTCTCCCTGCTCCACCGGAGACGAGGCCGCACGCTCGCAAGGGCCTCGGAGGTGGCTGGCCGATTTGTGCTACGAAGCCGAGCGCATTGATTTGCTCCCGGGGGCCGTGGTGTACAGGATCGCAGACTAGCTGAAGGGTAGGCCCTCGCCATGGACGCAAAAGTGCTCGGCTCTGCCGCCAACGTGCCGCGGACGACGACGACGAGAAAGGAGAACGACGACACAAGGAGGAGGAGGACGTGGAACTGGGAGAATCTAGGCCTTCCAGATGGGGTCGAAGTAGATGGGATCGGAGGATCGCGCCGCATCGGGGATGCATCGGGGATGCATCGGCGATGCGGCTCGATGTGGAGCCCGATTTTCTTCACACCGATGTTGCCGATGCATCTGTGATGCATCGGCGGTGCGACGCAATTCTCCGACCCCATCTTCTCGGACTAAATCTGGGATTCCTCCTAGAGAAGGAGGAGGATCAGGGGGAGGGCTGTGGGGAGGGGAGGAGGAGGAGGAGGAGGAGGAGGAGGAGGAGGAGGAGGAGGAGGAGGGGGAGGAGGAGGAGGAGGAGCAAGAGGAGCAGGAGGAGCAGGAGGAGGAGGAGGAGGAGGAGAGAGGAAGATGATCCAGAGGTGGAGGGAGAAAGAGGGTGAGGAGGGGGAAAGAGGAGGAGGACGGATGATGAGGAGGAGGAGGATGAGGTGGAGAAGGAGGCGGGGAAAGAGGAGCAGAAGGAGGATAAGGCGGAGAGGATGGGAAGAGAATGACGAGAGGGGGGATGAGGAGGAATAATAGGCCGAGTACGAAGGAGAGGGGCGGGAGGCGAGGTGGGGGTGCGGAGCAGTAAGAGCAGGAAAAGGAGGAGGGGGGTCTCACCACAGACGCACAACTTCACGGGTCTGTCGCGATTGCCGCCGCGCCGTAAAGATTCACGAGTTTCTGGGCTGGCAGCGTCCCGCGCGAGCACGAGGATCAGGAAGAGGCGACCCCAGACATGCGATGTCTTGATTCTTTCAATGCGGGTTCTCCAGAAGTCACGACCTTTTCCCCAGTTTCGTGTTTTTATTCCGAGTAGTTTTCAGAGGTTCCTGGGGCTTGGCGAGGGCCCCTGGAGCCGAAAACGGTTGCAATCCTCTCGTCGTGTTTTTTTTTGTTCGATCACGACGCGGGCATGTCTGGGACGACGAAGGCGGCGAGACGGAGCACGAAGACGCTGAGGACGATGACGAGGAGGGCGGGGAGGTGCACGCCAGGAGGGGCGAGGGCGACAAGGGCGAAGCTCCAGCGGTGCCGCCGCCAGCGGCCGTTCGTCCCCGCGGCCCCGCGGCGCCGCGCGCCTCGCGCCCTGTTGCGACGGAGCGCCGAGGACGGGGAGGCCTCGCGGGCCGGGCTGGTCCTGCGGTTGCTGCCGCCTTAATGGGGGGTGCGAGGCTGGGGCCCCGAGGGAGGAGGCCCGGAGGACGGGAGGCGCAGGGGAGGAAGCTGCAGACACCTGCTTTCCGGAGGTCCGCGTTGATTCCCTGCCTCGGCGTTGGTCGCCGTTGCCGACCCTGCAGGGGAGCTCGACACTTGCATGTGACCTGGCCGCCTGGACGAGAGGTGCAAAGACATGTTACATGTTGGCGCACTCTTTGTCAGCGCTCCGCCCCTCGCATGGCCAAGCACGGTGGCCTTCAAACGTGTGTGTCCAGCAAGTGGGCTCCGCATGCCCCAAGTGAAATCAGCCATGTGCGTTCCAGCTTCCCAGGGCCCATCGACTCGCTCGATTGGTCTAATTGTCTTGGCAGTACTCCCAATCATTCTCCTCTTCCCAGCCATCTGCTCATTAAAACCACTCTGATTCGTTGTTGTGTTCATGCTTCCACGCGTATGTCTGTCACCACTGCTACTCCTGACCGTGCTTCAAGCTTGGTCCTACACCTACGCTCATTTTGCATCAGGCATCTCTCATTAGTTCTTCTGCCTTCTTCGATTCCTTCAACTCACCCTCTCTGGGTTGCCTACGCTTCTATCTATAAATCTTCCTCAACATTTCTGCCCTGTCCCCCCTTTTCGCTCCTCCTCGCTCTCCACCAACCTTTGCCCCTTTGTCCTTCTCCCTCTCTTTCTCGCTCTCCCCCCCTCCTCGTTTTCGCCCTCCCCCCCCCCAGGTCCTCTCCGTCCTCGACCCTCGCCCCCTCCCTTCCCGTTCCTTCGCGACCCTCATCCCTTTTGGTCCTCCTCGCCTTCCATTCCGCCTTCTCGTGGAGGCATCGTCGGTCGGGGGGGGAGGCGCGGGAGGGGAGTCCCGGCTGCCAGGCGGGGCCACATGGAGCTTGAGGTGCGCCAGCGGCCGCGCGGCCCTTGCGTACAGTTATTTCAGGGAAGAGGGGCGGCGGCGGCGGCGGACGGTGGCATTGACGCGTGGTCGTGCCCAATTGTCGTGGAGTCGCGTGAGGCCTGAGCCGTCAAGTGATCGAAAAGTCAAAAGTCATGGCAGCCCCCGGAACGGATATCCGCGGAAGGCCTAAGATCTGACATTCAAGTAATTATAACGTTTTGGGACAGGTGTAATGGTGGTGCCGTGAATCCCTGGACTGGATGAACAGATATTGTGTGGAAGTTATGCGCCGCATTGCACAACGACACCATGAGACGAACCGCATTGAACCCTGCTCTCTGAGAGGTCGAACGACCGCCTTGATCTTGTGCAGAAAAAGGCCCCAGGTCACCGACCCCCGGTCGCCCCCCCCCCCCTAGGGATGGTGGCTGCCGATCCTGGGGCCGGCTACCCAGGGGATGTCAGTTCACCCGAGAGACACTGGTCGTGCACCCCCACGCCAGGTACCGCCCTCGAAGCAGGAGGGGGGGCAAGGAGGAGGGAGGAGGGGGGGGGGATGGGGAGGGAGAGGAAGAGCATGATGGGGAAGTGGAGGCAAAGGATGCTGAGGAAGTGAACGTTGAGGAAGAGGAGGAGCAGGGCGACGAAGAAGATTGAGGAGGTACGAGCTGGAGGACGAGAGGAACCTGTGGAGCTCAAGAAGTGGGTACTGTGGATGTGGCAGGAGAGGGAGATACAAGGTTTGCGGTTGGAGGGGGACAGAGGAAGGGAGGAGGCGTGGCGTCTTTGGAGTGGGGCGTGGTCGGGGCTTGATGGACGACGGTATCGGATCACTGACCACAATGCCAGGTCTACAAGCGGGCCGCTTTTGAACAATCCCTGTGCCGAGGAGGGATTGCCAAAGGGGGGCACCCGTCGCCTGGGGAACCCCGTCTCGCAGCCTTCTGTTTCGTGTTACTCACGAGGACGCACTCTGGTCAGCAACACACATTCTAGCACTGCTGTGCAAGAGTGGCGCCCTACACAAGCTAGCAGAGAGTGCACTTTATAGCCTTAACCCATAGTCCCTGCAGAGTACGAATGACGACGGAGATGGTGTGCCATCTGGTGGCAGTGCAGATACCGAGTAGGCTAAGCAGTGGAACGAAGGTGAGCCCTGACAGCCGTCGCCACCGCCCCACCAAGCTGGACCCCGGAACATGTTTCGAAATTGCGCATGGCGGATGCAGGAACTCCAGCTGTGTTTGTGGAGCCGGTCTGGCCGAAACAACGGACAACAGGCTGGTTGGGTATGCGACGCGTAGCCTTAGCCCACAGTCCTAGCAGAGTATCACAAACGATATTGCTGCAGGTGATGATGATGTAAGCTATCTGATGGTTGGGCAGAAGCGCGGCTGGCACCGTACTCCAGAATACCTCTCCACTGTTCGGGGCCTACACCGGTAACGGTGCGTGCCCAAGAGGATGGGGAAGCAAAGTCAGTGGAGCGAGCCTGCTGGGGGCTGGGCGGGGGAACGGGCGAGCGAGGCGGAAAGGGAAAGGAGGATTGGGGCTGCGCAAAGGAGAAGGCGGGGAGGTTGCGTGGAAGAAGAAGGGAAGCTGATTAAGGGAAACAGACAAAAACCGTACGCCCACAGGCGCGTCGGCAGGCGCAGCGTGATTCATGAATTCGCATATTGGGGGGGAGGGCGCACGAAGGAGACGGAGGGGCGCACGACGAGCGGGGACGCGAGGCGAGGCCGCGTTCACGTGTTCTCTTCAGCGACGCTCGTCTTGAATGAGATGCTCTCAAACGCTGACTTTCGCCAGCTGCTCGAACGACGCGCGGATGAAAATATTTAGTCCATTCTAGTTTTGGTCGTCCACGCTTGCGAACGTACCGGTTTGTCTGTTGCTGCCACGTGCCGGGAGTGAATATTGAATCCCGCAATGGGTCGCCCATTCTCCCTCTCGCTACTTTGGCTGAGCATTAGCAATCGATGACGCGCAAGACTTTCCGAGAGCGGTGCTTGGCCCGTTCGCTGCCGGATTGCGTCGTTTGATACATGCGGGACCATTGGGTGTTTGACGCCACGCAGCATTCTGAACATCATTCAATGCGATCTGTCGAGTCGGCGTCTCTCCGCCGCGTTGGGGCAAACCGTACACAGGTTGTAGAGACGCTTGGGTACGATTGTCGCACTGAAGAGTTCCAGCTCGCGTGTTTCTCCAATGCTTGTATGGCCCTACATTTTGGGAGGTTCGAGAAGGACGAAAAAGCGGCCCCGAGTCATCTGGTAAGTTTTCTTCCCAGTGTCCCATCGTTGCTGATGGTGGTGCCGAGGTGAGTCAGCGTCTCTGCGGTTTCGATGACGTCGCCCGCGGGCGTCTTGACGTCGCCGTCACACCCACTTCGCAACAGTTGGAGCTTCCCCCAATGTAGCTCTAGCCACACACGATCAGCCGCCACCCGCACTGCTTGCAACCATTTGTGCATGTCCTTTGCTGTCCGAGCCATCGAGAGCGTGTCGTCAGCGTACACCATTTGGCCGAAGCGCGTCGCCTCCGGCGGCCCCATGGCGTCTTCGGTGTTTTTCATGACGACTGTCAGCACCATGATGAAGAGCATTGGTCAAAAAGGGCATCCCTGCGAGACTCCGGACTTTTGCTCGCGCTCCGTCGAGAGACCGCCGGCGTTCTTCACCTCGGATGTGCGGCCGGCGTACATGTCAGATATCACGTCCCGGATATTGTCTGGCGGGCCGAATCGCTCCAAGGCCGTGATCATGGCCTCTGTACTCACGGAGTCGAAGGCTTGCTTCCAGTCTAAGGCAAGGATGTATGCGTGGCCATTTTGCGCAGCCCGCTGTGCTTCGACGCGCCCCCATCACGGTGTAA